ATTTGAACCGCTGAACTGCTGATCTAGCAGTAGCCTGCAGTGCTGCATTTAACCACTGCGCCACCTCGGCTCATACAAGAATGATACAAGTAAACCAAAGTTGAAATCTATTTAGATTATGTGTCATTAAGTTGTTAACAAATCTTAGTAGTATCACAGATGGACTTTCACAGATGATCTCTGTCATCCCAGCCCTTCGTGTGTTTTGGGGTTACATTATACCCTTTATAACCTTTATAGTCAAGTCCATCCATTTTGTTTCTAATCATTCTCCGCTTCTCTTTCCTTCCATCTCTCCAAGTATTATGGATTTCTCAAGGGAAGTCTGTCTATGTACAATGTGTTCAAAATGTGACAATTTGAGCCTGATCATGGGTCTTGAGTGAAAGCTCAGAATTGTTTGATGAGCCATTAGTTTATTTTCTTGGTTATCCATGAGATTCTCAAGAATTCAAAAACATGGTCTTGCTTCTTCAAAAATCAGTTTTCACTTCCATAAAGTACCACATGGAAAACTATTGTCTGCGTAGTTTCTGATCTTTATGGCCTCAGATATATCACATCTGAACATTCATTTGTACCCTACCAAGAGGTAGTATTTCTTGATTGCTGGTTTCTTTTTGTTCAGTAACTGATCCTAACAGGCACAAGTTATCCACTACTGCAGTGTCATTTCTAAAGCTGGTCGCTGAATCTGTTATTACTGTATTGATTTGGCTTTTTTATATTTAATAATAGGCCTATTTTTCCCCACTGTGCTCCTGGTCACATATTTGCTTTTATCATAACTGAGCCGTTGGACCTCCTTGTACCAACAATATAATCAATTTTATTTCTGTGCCCGTCATCTGGTAATGTATAGACATCATTTTTGAAGACTGTGTTTGCAATAAAGGAGTCACTGAATTGACAGAAACTGATAAATCATTCTCCTACTTCATTTCTGTTTCTTAAGCCTTAAAGTTCAACTACAATTTTGCTCCTTACTCTTTTCAGTTGTAGCATTCCAGTCTCTAGCCATGTCTTGCTGGCATGATTTTCAATTCTAGATTGAAACTGACCATAAAACCCATCAACTTCTTCATCATGTGTTAAGGTTCGGAGGATAAAGTTGGATAATTGTTATTTTAAAGAGTTGCCCATTGTTTTTATTGATATTATTTAATTACATTGGTCTTGATATTACTTGATTTTTGCTGTATCCTTCCTGACTTTAATAGCAACATTATTCCTTCCTTATTTTTTTATATCTTGTAGTAACCAATGTGAGTTTTTGGTTGAAAGTGTTTAATTGCAAACAATTAGCTGATGCAGAAGATGTGAACATGCAGTCCATTTTGATGTTCATTTTACTGTTTTCATGCTTTTTACATTCCGTCTTGCAAAGTACAGTAACACTGTCTTTCAGCTTTTGATATCTTTTCCTGCATGTCAACATCAACAACTAGATGTCTGGAAGGATTTAATTTAGCAACATGATATCATAAGCACTATTAATAAACAGAAAGACCTTCAGCTGTTGCTTAGTAGCGTGTTGAGTGCCTGAAAACCACATCATCTAGCACTGTATTATCAATAACTTCGTTGTGTTTAGCTGTCTTTCTTTAACAACATATAAAGATGGGAAAGAGCTGGGCAAATATGGGCCCTCAATTGACCGAGGTCTGTTTACTGTTGCAGGAATTGCTTGATATACCTGGTGATGCTCAGTGGGTGGAGACTATCACAAAGGACATTCACCGCCAATTCCCTTTCCACGAGATGTTCTTGTCTCCTGAGGGTCCTGGGTGAGTGAGTAGAGTATGCAGAGTAGAATTTTTTGAACAGATTATTACAGATTGAAATATACAGAATAGTTGTCTGAAGAACTTTTTAATCCATCATATTTGTTTTAGGGAAAATAAATGATATTTAACTAAAATACATAAATGCTTCATATACTATCTTTTTTCCTTAATTTATGTCCAATATTGTGTTGATAAAAAATAAAAACAATGTCAAATTTAAATTGTAACATGCTTATGTTTTGCTCTATATGTTGCATAATAGCATTAGGTCCATGCATAAGTTTCTTGAGAGTTACAAGACTCCCTCCTTCATTCAATTTTAACTTTAGTTTTTTTTTAATTAAAAGTAACAGCATGTTGCAGAACAAAGGACTAGCTTCTCTAGATCCCAATAGCATTTGTAGAAAATAAAAGCAATGGGCCAAAAAACACCAAAATAAGCCAGAACTGAGAAAACTCAAGGAAAGCTAAAGAGATGATGGGGAGCAACCTCACCAATTTCCCATGAAGAATATCATATTATGGCATTCATTTGGTGAAAAGCCAAACTCTGCCATGCTCATGTTATTATAATAATGCACAATGCACGCTCTAAAAATCACATATGATCACTGACTTCTGAAGTGTACCTACCTCTGTCCAGAGAAGGGAAGCGATTTGTGGATTAATACAAGAAGCAAGATTTCCTTCACTGAATATTTTCATATAGAGGCTAGATAATAAATTCCAGGGGTGCTTTCAGTTGGATGATTGTTTTGATGACTGAAATGGACCTTTCCATAACTGTAGCCCCATAACCCTTTACCACATCTTCTGAAAAATTATGGCAGCATGGATAAAGACTGGTGATCCTAGCTCTGAGTTGTGTGTGTGTAAGGCTCAATGGATCAACTGAACTCAAGCTTTGTGTGGTTAATGGTTCAACATGTTGTATGACCCTAGAAAATTAATTAACATTAACCGCACTCAGTGTGTTGCATGCATGACTACAGATTATAATTCTTTATACTTTGCATAATTGTTTCCATTTCCAACTTTAATTTGGCTAACTCTAAGCTGAATTCCCCAGATACATTAGGGTACTATTTGGATCACCCCTGCCAGTTGCTTTGAACCCAGTTTATCTATGGAATGTGGACAATCCTACCATGTAGACTGGTCACTTGCCCCATGGAAGAGTGTTGGGGAATGGAAAGTCCATTTACATATTCTGAGACTGAGCACCCGGTTGAATCCCACTGGCCAAGGCACAGCACAGGATTCTACCTAAAAGCGAACCACAAAGCTGAACTGGAGTGCTCTTATTGGATTTGATCTGGTGAACGCAAGGCAAGGATGTGACCATGGCTTCCTCAAGCCTTCTGTGATCTCTATTCCCTTACAGACAGCAAGGGCTGTTGCAGCTGCTGAAAGCCTACACTGTGTATCGACCCGAAGAAGGTTATTGTCAAGCTCAAGGCCCAGTGGGTGCCCTGCTTCTCATGCACATGCCACCAGAGGTGAGTCTCAGGCAAAGCCCTTCACCCTTACAGTTATCACTATGGTTATTGGATTGATTGACTGACTGACAAACAAAATATTTGAGCCACTCTGATCTGAAAAAAATTCTGGCTAGGGTGTAAGCCCATATAACATTAAAATACTTTCCAAATAGAAATTGGATGGGGTTGAACCCAATTTCCAAAGCTCCTGAGAAATCAAATTGCCTTCAACAAGTCAAAAGATAAAGGACAAGGATGTCTGCATGCGGGGTCAAAAAAGTCAACATGGCAGTGTCATAATGCAGCTAGTCCAGATGGTACCATTGTAGATCAGTCTGCATTGTCATAAATAAAAAAATTGGCAGAAATTTGATTGCATCAGCGTGACGGCCTCCTGACATTTTTTAATGTACCCTTTGAAGATCCCTGAGAGGGACCAGATTACATCCCTCTGATTTTCAAAACTCTCTCTAGAATTCTAGACAAGATGGGCAGAAGGAGCACTGACAAATCTTGGTGCCCTCTCTCTCCTTTGTACGTACTGTACAAATCTGCATTGATTTTTTTCTTTCTTTCTCAACTTTATGGTGCCCCAATGGGCCTGGTGCCTTAAGCACGTGCTTAGTCTGTTTAATGGTTAATATACCACTGCTTTTATCTTACTTACATCAGACTTATTCCATGCTAAATCCTCTCTATCAGCTGCTACTGTTTGTGTTCCCTGATGGCTGCCTGTTCGTTTTTTCCAGCAAGCGTTCTGGTGCCTGGTACAGATCTGCGACCACTATCTGCCTGGTTACTACAGTCCCCAAATGGTGAGAGATTTGGGAAAGAAGGGCAATCCACCTGTGGGAATGGGAATCAACAAACTGGAGTGGGACAGCAGTTCTTAAGGCCTTTCTTTGGGGTTGAGTTAAAGTTCTCTCCATCAATTTTTAATACTAGCAGAAGCTATATTGGGATAATTTTTTCTGTCCCCACTGCTAATGCTTATTCTTCTTCCACAGCCTCTATTCCAGCTTGCTGCCAAATGGTGCTATCCTCTTAATCAAAAATATCTGCAGGGTTTGGGGAAAAAAGTCATGGGTTTAGCCCTCTGCCTTTGGTACCCATTTTTCCTTCTCAACGAGCACCCAGGAAAACAGTGATGGGACAGGAGTGAGGAGTGAGGGTTTGACATTGGGTGCCTCCTGGCTTGTGCTGATTTATCAAATGCTGATTAGCCTTTAACAATCTGGCCTTTCAACTCTTGCTGAGAAGAATCCACTTAGCTTCTTATGATGTTTTCCATAAGGTCCCAGGATGACAGTTGCTAGAGAAAATGATTTGTTACGTTCCTTTGTTGAAAGCAACATCCTAGCTGATTTAGGCAGAATGTTCTCCAGCTGGAGATGATATTAATTACCACTGATTGGGGAGAGGAATGGAACCCCTAACATATCCCCCTTTCAATCTCTCTCTGGTTTTAATTAAGCAAAACAGGCATGTAATTAGAAGACTTTTGAAAGTATGGGACTTTGAAAAAGCAGCTCTTTCCATATCTGGCATCTCAACAAGCCTGCAGATCAGCTGCTCGCATCTCATTCTCCATGGGAGATGGGGGGGACAAAGAAGTGGAAGAGAGTGCCTGGGGACCTGGATGGGGGGAGAGTAGAACTGCATTTTTATTTATTATTTTGATTTTGAACTTTTAAATAGATAGATTAAAGGCAAAATTTCAGGAGATACAACTTTATATTTGACTCACATAAAAGAAGATTCACACACAAAATTAAAGCCTAAGGCTCAAAAATTGTGCCAGGTGAAGACAGCAAGCAAGACTGTAGTGTAGGGGTCTCCAAACTTGGCAACTTTAAGACTTGTGGACTTTAATTCCTGGAGTTCTCCAGGCAGCTGGGTGAGGAACTCTGGAAGTTGAAGTTCATAAGTCTCAAAGCTGCCAAGTTTAGAGACTCCTACTGTAGTGGATGGATGAAACTGTAGGATGGAAGGCTGGAGGTCTCATATCTCCCCTCCTGGAACTGCTTTCTGTCTTCATATCCTGGCCTTCACACTCTGTCTATTCTATTCTGAGCTAATAGCTTAGCAGCTCCTTCTGTCACTATACTATCTTCCAGGGGTCATTTCACAAATTATTCTTCTCTTAATAATTCCCATAACCTTAATTTGGGTTTTCACAGCCTGTATTCCCTTTCTGGTGATTGAAAGGTCAAAATGCAAAAAGGGAAATAATTTCCATAATGCCAATTCCTGAGACAAGTGGCTTGAAAATTCAGCCGTTGCTTGGTAAATAGATCATTTTCAGAAGACGTAAAGGAAATTTATTTTAAATAAAATCTTCAATTTTAAATATTAAAATGAAAATAGTGTTGAATGACCACTATTTAAAGCCTGATGTCACAGCTGCCAAAAGGAAGTGACAAATGAAAATGCAGTGCTCAAGTCAAATCATAAGATGTCACTGGTCTGCTACAAAGGATCTGTTCTCCCTATGACGTGGTTTATGTCACAACATAACATTACAGAGGCAAGAAGATTATAATTAAGATCTCCATGCCCATCCAGAAGGATACATGCAGGTTGAAGTTTAAATATCATATTCTATCATTTGTAGAAGAATAAAGACAAAAATAATGCCATGTTTTAATACCCAGCTTGTATCCACAATGTCATACTTTTTAACCATTGTAAACAAATAACTATAAGTCAAGGATGGGTGAGGGTAGGAAAGTAAGAGTAACAGAAGAGGAGACTATTTGATTAAATGATATTGTTGTGATACCCTCGCCCACAGTTCGGCGGAGACCCTCGTCGCTGCCTGGCACTCGGCAGCTTCGGAGTCTCTNCTGGGCATTCTGAATCCTCAACTTTAACAAAAACTATCAGAACTGCTTTCATTGATAGCATTGAGGCTTCATCGATTATTAAACACACCTTTATATTCTTTGCAATAATCCTGGAAAAAACAGTGATTTTAATTTTGTTTGCAATGAATTCAACTATTTTCACTTCTGTGAATGCAAGCCTACTCACACATCTACTCCAACCATAGTTAGCAAATTTACCTCCCTTCAATATCTGAGAATGGTTTGCATCTTTGTGCCAGATCTTAAACAGGAAAAAATATTTTGTTAGTACTCGATAAATGTTTCTCAGTTTATTTACCGTGTTTCCCTGAAAATACAACATGTCCTGATAATAAGACCATGCCACATTTTTCAGGTGGGCAAAAATATAAGCCCTCCTCCAAAAATAAGGCCCCTGGACACCCCCCTCCATCCAGGCAGAGCGCCACTCACCAACCTAGAGGTATCCCAAAGGCACCAAGCCCCAGGAACAGGGGGGGGGGGGAAGGCTCACGTTGCTTGGCGCGTTCGGGATACCACTAGGTTGGTGAGCGGTGCTGTGCCCAACTGGAGAGGGGGGTTGCCAGGAGATTGCTCTCTTGTGAGCGGGCTCCCAAAGAGCCGGGAACAGCCTCAGGGTTGAACGGCTGTGTTGCACTATCGCAGTAGCACTACACAGCAGCCATGAGGTGACCACGCTCATGAGCAGCCACCTGGCAACCCCCCCTTTCCAGCCAGGCACAGTGCCATTCACTGACCTAGGGGTATCACCAAGCCACATGAGCGTCTGTTCACCACCCTCCGGCTCCTGTGGCTTTGCGCCTTCAGAATGCCCCCTAGGTCAGTGAATGGTGCTCTGCATGGCTGGAGAGGGGGTTGCACAAGCGGCTTCTCTGCTCCCCACTCGCGCACCTACCAGCCTCATGATGCCCTTACCTAACTCTCCCTGCAGAGCCAGAGCACCTCAAGCTGCCACCACCGCCTGCCACCACCACATGGCTTTTTCTGCAGCTTCCAAAGCACGGAGGTAGGATGCCAAATCTTCCGGAAGTTGCCACTCTGGGAATACGCTCTATAGTTGTACGCTCTGGAAGTACACTCTGCCTCAGCCATCCCACAATCATAGAGCATACTCCCAGAGTGGCCGCTGCAGGAAGACTCGGCTGTGGCACAGGTGGCACACTGGCCATGCAGGGAGAGCTGGGCCAGGGCATGGTGAGGTTGGGAGGCACACCAGCTGGGGATGGAACAGGCACTTGCACAACCTCCCTTTCCAGCCACACAGAGCGTCATGCACTGACCTAAAGGTATCCCAAATGTGTCAAGCTGTGGGAGCTGGGGGGAGGGCAGAGTACCACACGACTTAGCACCTTTGGAATATCACTGGGTCCGTGAGTGATGCTCTGCCCGGCTGGAAAGGGGGGTTGCCGGGTGGCTGCTCATGAGAGTGGTCACCTCATGGCTGGTATGTTGCACTGCTGCAACAGTGCAACACAGCTGTTTGCCTCTGAAGCTGTGCCTGGCTCTTTGGGTGCCTGCTCGCAAGAGAGCAGCCACCCGGCAACCCCAAAACAATAAGCTCCCCCCCAATAATAAGACCAAATCAATATTTTGGGGGTCAAAAGAAAATAAGACCCTGTCTTATTTTGGGGAAAACATGGTATCTATGGATTTGGTTAAAGCATCCTGCTCCTGTTGTTTACTGTTCTCTCTACAAATAAGCTGATTCTCCTTAGTTGTCTCTGCAACCTCAACCTGGAAATTTTTCCACTCTCTAGAAACATGAATACCTTCCTCTAATGAGAACATGGGATTCTCACAGTACTCACAACCTAACTTTGTCAGATACTGCCAGTCCATCATATTTGTCCTGGAAGTTTCTGTATTGCTGCAAACTCCAGCAGCCAGGAAGTTTTGGAACTTCAGTGGAGAAAATGGACTTGCTGCTTTCTCCGACTTCAAATTGTGGAAGTGGTCATGCTGCTGATGCTGGTGCAGGCACTGGTGGTGCTGATGGTGTTGGTGTATAAGGAATTATTATTAGTACTTGCTCATTATTAATGTTTAGATAACTGTGGGACCTTACACACACACACCCACACACACACACAAACTATGACAGCACCAGAAGAACTAATTTTGTTGCTTAATGGGTCAGAAGCAGAAATGGGTTGCTCCTGGTTCGGCCTGGTTTGTCCAAACCTGTAGTAGAATTGTTGCCTGGGTCGCAGAACCAGCAATGATCCAGGCTAGCCATGCCCCCAAACCAGTTCCCCGTTCTCTTATGACTTTGATGGCATGTTTCTGTGCATGCGCAAAACATTTTTTCGTCAACTGCGCATGCGCCGGCAACATGCAGCCAGCACATGCAGGTATCAAGCACACGCATAGTGAACAAGCCCCAATCGATATAGGAACCCACCCCTGGTCAGAAGATTCTATTATGGCTGTGCTTTCTGTTATAAATCTTAGCATAATTCCTGCCAAAGGCCCTCCACTTTTTTGAGAATGGGAAGTATAGGTGCTAGGTGGTGGATAGATATCGATATAACTAATACAAATTGATCAAACTGATCTACACTATCCATCAGGCAAACTGGATTCAATACATAATGAGTGACATCAAAAAGTTAAAGAGTTGGGAGTTGAAGCACAGTAGTTTCAAGAAATATCTCTTGCAAGCTGCAATTTTTTCAGTGCAAAAGTTCCTTTTCTCCTCTTTTTTTTTTGCAATGAACACAAATGTCTGCTCTCCAAAATAAAATTAACATGTGTCACATTGCAGCATTTTCTAGACTGTTTTTTCTCCATTTCTTTCACTTTGCTTCTCTAGTTTCCCTGACAAGGATAAGTGAGCCCTGGAGTACCACTTGCTTTGCATATTTATTTTTCCACATTACAGCAACTAGCAACATGAACATAGAATTTACTACAATAGGAAACAAGAGCACTAAGCATGTAGAAAAAAG